CCCGGGAGGGAAACAGCTTCCGCAGCCCGACCCCCCACCCAGGGAGCTCACACCACGGCTGAGCACCGGGGAGTTACCGGCGTTTCCCCCAGCAGCCACAGCCCGAGAAGCCACGGGAGATGCTCCCGCCGTCTCCAGGGGGCTCTGCGGCACAGCTCCGGGGACCTGGGAGCCGCGGTGGAACCCACCTGGGCATCAGGATCAGTCGGATTCCTCCAGTGCTTAGAAAAATCAGCTGCATCCAGGCACGTGTCAGCGCGGCTGCCAGGGGAACAGAGCTGGAACAGAGTGAGGCAAGAAGAACCAAGAGGCGCCGGCAGGGAGCAGCTGAGCTGCTCTGCAAGGGGAGACCAGCAACGCCAAGGGTGGCCACAGCATGGGGTAGAGGGGGGTGGGAAACACACAAGACCCCCACAGCAGGGCAGGGATGGTCCCATCAATACAGACCACCAGGCCAAGGTGACAAGTCAGACCCTAGATCAATGCAGGAAAGCCAAGGAACAAGCCTGGTCTGACGGGGTGGAGGGAGGTCAGGCACCTTGGAGCTCAAACCAGAGCTGAGGACCTGGGCCAGCTTTTAAATAGAGCCCCCAGGGGGAAGGGTGGGTGGGTAAGTGGTTGGGGTCTCAGGTGAGGCTGGTCAGGACAATCAAGGGCAATTGGTGCAGCCAGGTGCTCTGGTGTGTCAGGAACAGGGGAAGGTCAAGAGAGACAATAGACCTGGACAAGAGAGAACAATATCAAGCATCCTAAAGAGTAGGTGATTGAAGAGGCAACACTCTAAAGTAAAGACATAAAGAGGGAGTGGCTGTGGAGGGCTCCTGATGTGGGGTGTGGGGTGGGATGCAGAGCAGGGCTGAGAGCATGATACCCCCAGGAAGGGGGGCGAGAGCCAGGGCTGAGGAGCAAAACTCACCTCCTCCATGTTCCCTTCCCCAGCTGCCAGCTGGCACTGCCTCTGCCCAGCCCTGAGCATCACCATGGATGAGGCGACAGAGCTGCAGCTGGGAGGGAACTCCCTCCTGAAGGCAGTCTGGCTCGGCCGGCTCCGGCTGACCCGGCTGCTGCTGGAAGGAGGGGCTTACATCAACGAGAGCAACGAGAAAGGGGAGACAGCCCTGATGGTGGCCTGCATCACCAAACACGTCGACCAGCAGAGCATAAACAAGGCCAAGATGGTGAAGTACTTGCTGGACAACAGAGCTGACCCCAACATCCAGGACAAGTCTGGGAAAACGGCCCTCATGCACGCCTGCATCCGTGGTGCTGGGGGAGATGTGGTGTCCCTGCTCCTGGAGAACGGGGCAGACCCCAGCCTGGAGGACCACTCAGGAGCATCAGCTCTGGTTCACGCCATCAATGCTGATGACAGGGATGTGCTGCAGCACCTCCTGAATGCCTGCAAAGCCCAAGGGAAGGAGGTGATCATTATCACCATGGACAAATCTGCCTCTGGCAGCAAAACCACCAAACAGTACCTAAACATCCCCCCCTCACTGGAGTTCAAAGAGAAACCCGCTCCCGAAGCGTGCACCTCACCCTCTAGTGCCCAGCTGAAACCCCCCATTTCAGCACCTTCCCCTGGTGAGGAAGAGAGTGACATCTTCATCCCGCAGCCCGGGGACAGCCCCTCCAGCCGGGCTGCCCGGGAGCCCACCTCCCCGGGCCCGAGAGCCAGAGCGGCTGGG